CATTTTGTGCATCCATTCGACAAATGTTGTGGAAAATGCAGCACATTATTATTATTTTCGCTGCTTTTTCTAGCTGCAACCGTAAATGGTTCAAGCAAGGAAACTTTTCTTTAAGGATACCTGTAAAATTAACTTGGCTACAAAAATCTTAAAAAACAAATGTATGTCTAAAAGTCATACCGAAACAATTTTCAATAATCCTCCTTGTTTTTTTATGCGCTCTGTTAAAAAGCTGCTCTTGTGGCGGCGTCGGATTGTTTCGCAAAGGAGGAATTAGCCAATTCAGTAACGGATAAGCACTATCTCCTAAAATTACGGCATTAAGGAATAGACGGAATCCGTTTTCAAATCTGCCGAACAAATTAGAATTACGTAGGACCCTGGCCAATTACAATTTATGGCATAAATCTGAAAATTAGGTCCACAAACCATCATTTCATTAATCGCATGATTTCCGTGCCTATTCACAAATTGTTCCTCGTTAACGTTAGGCGCGTCTATATCAATCATCGTTCCGTCAATGCACCCTGCGACTTGAGGAAATCCCCCAATATTAAAAAACTGTGTGGCGATATTTTGATTTTTTTCAAATTCTGGCCAACGAATAGTTACGTCCATGAACCGTTTATAACGAYATTTGCCACTCGATAGATTACTCTGCACACCTTTGATTTTGAACCCCATGCATTTTCGCAATTCCATGATATTGGCCACCATTACCTAACCAGTGCAGAGTGGTTAATAACTGTTGCAGGGAGTTGAAGCACATATTACGCTTACTAGTGTATTGCAGATGCGCTCCTATTTTTAGCAAAATTTTTTCAATTTGGCTACGAGTTAGCCGAAAATTTTCTACCGCACTAATATCCACATTGTAATTGATCCTTTCGTTTCTAAGACGCGAATTGTGCGAATGTTCGTCTTCCAAAATATTAAAAAGTTCGAATCGAAGCATTTTGTTAGTTTCTTTTTTACTCTTATTAATATTTCACGAAGCTCGAGCACGTACTAAGGCC